TGATGAAGATGATGAACGCTTGGTTCCCAGGAATTACTTCATTTACAGTTGGAAAGGAAGATTTGGTGTTTTTTATTGTCACCACCACTTGTGACTGTGTAAGCATTTCTTTGTTTTGAACTTTTGTGAAGAATCACTGATTCATGTTTCTTTTTTCCAGTTCTGCTTTTGATTCTTTAATTTTTCTTGTTCATAAATTTTGCAAACAACCTTTTACCTTTCAGTCATGTTTGGTTTTTTTCCTTTCTTGTTTATATTTGTTTTGACCTTACTGAGATGAAGATTTCTCCAGATATGGTTTGATTGCTTACTTACACAGCTAGCATCAATGGGTTAAAGATATTTCAGGAATGTCTGAAGTGCATTGTTTTGAATTCATGGGTGAGAAAAAAAAATGAACTAATACAAGTCAGAAAGGTAAAAATTAAAAAAAACATTCAACCTGGATTCAAAAGCCAGTATTAAATGACAACAACAATTCATTGGGTTGAAATGAGGGGCTCAAGAATTTAAAAAAATATTTGGTGTGGGGGAGCATTTTGTTAAAAAGATGGTTTTACTTTGGAAGAAAGTTGATGTTGAGAGAAACAAGGAAGTTGATCAGCTTCATCAAATAACTTGTTGGACCAGCCGGCACAACGGGAGCTCTGGTATTTGTATGGCAAGTTTGGCAGCCCATCACCTTTGAGTCTGCGGATCTTGTCAACTATAGACCATCTGAGCTCTTGTTGCACTGGTTTGCTCTACAAGTCAGTTGATGCAGCATGAAGGATTATGTTGTTTTGAATTTCTGGTTTGTAGGAGCAGTGGAAGAGTCCACAGGAGGAACATATTTATTGAGCTTTTAGTTGGTGAATGGGGAAATGTTAGTAAATTTGATTTAATTTCTGAGGACAATTGTTGTTTATTGGTGGAAAGAGAAGCATTGATTGTGTGTTGTTGTGCAAGTTGACTCTGGTGTTGTTAATTTGTTGTTGGCTGATTTGAAATGTGGAAGTTATTATCTATATCTTTTCTGATAGGATCATTTTTTATTGCTGGTTGTTGTTGGGAGAATGTGGTGGGGTGACTTGGAAGAGGTGAATTGTGTTTGGATGGAATGTTTTGTTGTGTTTTGAGATGGTGGTTGCTGTTGGTTGGGTGAGTTGTGTTGATAAGCTTGGTTTTTTACATCAGAGGGAGAAGGTGGTTGATTGTGTTGATTGATGAGGGAAAAGGTACAAGAATGAATGATTTGTATTTCTGGATCAGCAAAATCAAGCTGTAAATAGATAAGAAAACATGGAGGTTATGTGATGAAGTGAGTATTAATTTATTCTAATAATGACCGGAATGTGTGCTAGGAAATATGCTTATGATGAGAAAGAGAAAAAAAGAGAGCTGAAATACTAACAGATTGTTGTATAAAATTGGGTTGAACTGTCCATGTTTGTTGGTTATTGGGGGAGGAATGTGGTTGGTGGGTGTATAAGTTGGTGAGGAGAGGAATGGATGTTTTTTTTTTTTTTTTTGTGATGGAATATGTTTTCATGGCTCTAATGGTGGAAGCTGAGGTAGTTTGAAAGTGTTGTATGTTAGTTTGAAATTGTTAGTGACCAAGTGAAAAAGTGAGGCCCTGTGGTTGTGTTCCCCCCATGGAACAAAAACATACCAAGTTGAAATAAACCAATGGTTAGACAGCGGCTTGGCATTGTTTTTGAGGAGGTCACGGGTTCAAAACCCCCTGGCGACAAAAAAAAAATTATGCGGGTCATTTGATATACAGTTTCTGCGGGGGATAATTCATACAGTTTGGCGGTTAAACATACAGTTCAGGGGATAAAACATACAGTTTGGGGGTTTCAGACATTGGCTTTGTGGGATTAAAATCATGCAGTTTGGGGGCTAAACAAATCATACAGTTTGGGGGTTTAATATGTTAACTTTGTTGGATTTTGCGCAAGCATTTTGATATGCAATTCCTCGCTGATAAGTGGGACGTATGCAATGTAATTCATCATGCAATGCAATACTTGATGCAATATGAAGCTTATTATGCAATATGAAGCTTATTATGCAATATGGAGCTTATTATGCAATATAACTTGGTAGAATCTTGCCACCCTGGCCCTGGGGAGTCCCTTGTAACCCTAACCCTAACTCTGTAGGCCTAACCCTCACCTATTGATGTGGGGTTGATGTCATCTGTTAACTATGTAGGGGGCAAGATGTACACTTTAAGCTTCCCTGGCCAGTACACGGTAGCCAAGTTTACAAATACTGTGGGA